GGAAACAATTCTTCTCTGATGGTTGCAAGGAATGAAAAAGAATTTCACAAAGAGTGGAAATATGTGTTTCCTATCATTATGTTCTCTTTGGAGGCGGCCTGCCTCATGAAAAAGCTGAGAAAACAGAACTAGTGTTTTTCTGCAGGTATATTTACAGCAAGTGCTATATTAGATACTTCTACTTTATTAAATATATAAGGCAGAGGCAACACCAATAAAAGAAACTCCAAATTCTCCAGTACATAGTGGAAATTTAAAACAGCATACCTATTTCAAAACTGAAAAAGTAAAAGGAAACAAAAGAAAGCAAACATTAGTCTAATTCTTGACACTGTTATTGAAAATGCTGTTGAATAAAGCAGTCCCAGATCTAACAAAGAAAGTCATAACTGGTCACCAATCATTTTACAGTACAACTAGACACTATGAAATGGGATTAATTTTTTATCTGAGGCAAAATCCAGGTTGGTATAGAAGTTTCACTCCAGTAATGACCCCTGTGCTCTTAAGGCTCCAAAATACTTCATTGTAAAGCTTCTTGTTAAAATGTGGTCAGGAAAATTCTTAACTTTTTTTTTTTTTTAATTAAAAATAATAAGTAAAAAAAGCACTTTACAGAAAAGCATTTTCTTTGTGGGACTGTTTCAGTTCATCTCTTTTCCAGTGGGGAATCAGAATGAAATACTTACTTTAAGGGGTTGCAAAACTAAATCCTATCAGCCTGTTTGAACCATCTTGCCCCGAAGCTTCAGTCTTTACTCAGCTGAAGGTGTTTTGTGGGAAATACAGACAATCCAGAAACTCAAAAAAGTCACAGGTAAACAGCTTTTAAATATTTCAGAAAATAGAAGCCAAAATATGAGAATCTTCTTCAACAAAGTAATTCCAACTTGACATACTCCTCATTTTTGTGTGCAGAAGATCTGAACTAGTCCTCATATAGCTTAGTGACATGTTATTCCTGGTTTGGAAATCACTGAGAAGTTTAACAGTATGAAAATAATTTGCAAGACAGTCCCTTTGCCATGTCGCTTAGCTTCTTGAAATATCAGCATATGCTTGCTTCATAGAATTGTATTCACTGAGAATTTGATAAACTGTATCCATAATCTCAATAAAAATGAGACAACTATTCACACAGTACCAAACAATGGAGATCTGATTGTGTGAGCATTTCCCGTGTTTGTACTAGAAAAAAAGAAGGCGTTAGTACTATATATTGTGATCCATTTTTCCAGAGGAGAACTCATTTGATATGAAACATTGTTCTTTGAATCCGATACTACAGATGCTGTTTCTTGATATCTCTTGTAAAAACAAAATTGTACAGTATTCAGATTAAAGTGATTTGCTAAGAGACCTGAAAATCCTTGAAATATCAAAGGAGGTAGGTCCTTCATATCGCGAGGGTATTATGCTTGAAATATTTTTTCAGCCTTAATACATTCTTTTCATATGGAAAGCAGGAGATTTTTATTCTGCTTTTAAAGACAGCTGCTTTCTGAGTTATTTTAAGAAATTCACTAACATATCTTTTTATTTTCTATCATATGATTTCAAATTAAATAATAGTAATTTAAAATCCTTAAAAGCCAAGGAATAGAATTAAATTATTACCTTCTTGTTTGCTTTCCTAGCTGATGAGCTGCCAGAAGTATTCAAGTAATAATGATTCACAGCAGGCACAGTTATTTATGATAATTATATTTTAAAAACTACCATACTTACTGCAAATAGTAGGGCTCTCATCTGAGTTATCTGCACAGTCATTTACAAAATCACACAGACTATCCTTTGGGATGCAGTACTTGTTGGCACATGTGAATTCCTCTGGTGTGCAAGGTCTGCCTGGGATGAGCAAAGGGGAACAATCTTCAAAGGTAATATCATCCACTGCCACGTCTCCCATGTAACTGACACCACGTTTTGCCCTGAAAACAACCTAATAAAAATTACAGAGCTATTACAGTAAGACACTGCTAAGATATATAAAAGCTTATATATGCAATGTTAATAGAACAGTCTATGATGGTCCTTGCAAGTCTTGGAATATGAAGTGGTCAGATCTTACTATCAAAGCACAGTCCTATGAAAGCTTGTACTACTGCTTGTACAGATCTGTCACTATAGTTACTGAAGGACCATCTTCTAACATCAACCAAGTACCAGAAAAAAAAATATCCTGAATTAATAGCAAGGATTCCACCTACTTCTGCAAAGCAAGCATGAAAAAGACTAGTCTGAGTCATTCATCACTTATTCCCATGAATGTAAAAAGAATGTTAAAGTTTCATTAAAAGCCATCCAAGACAGAAGTACCAGGGAAAGTAACACATTTTTAAATATGTTCCTGGTTGTCTCTGGTTTTTTTATAAGGATACAACTAAGCATAGCATACCCATGACTAAGTACCTCTAAGACTCTTAGGAATCAGCTCATATTTCAAAGCAAACATCACGTTCAAGACCCTTTTTAAAAAATCAGAAGTACTACTACTACACACTAAGGAGAAGGAAGTAGAATAGTTTAACCTGAGTTGGATTCAAGGATAGAAGGGATTCTCTGTCTTAACATGGATATCAGTCTGAGACTGAAGGGGAATAAGAAATCTCAAAAACCTTGTGTCCAGCTCAGGTAACCAATCAGACAACCAGAAAGATGACTTTTGCTATTCAGAAGGGGAGGTACAATATGTGTATGGGATAAAAAGGGAAATGAGAAGGTGAAGAATACACAATATAAAAGTACCAAAAGCCAGCTGTCTAGGAAGCACATAATGTAGGAATACACACCTGGAAATTTGAACGAATTCCTAAGAACACTTCTGCTCTGTTCCACTGGGGACCTTGGCTGCCACTTTGAGTCCACAGTTTAGAAGTCCTGTTGCTGGTTTTACAGAGTACCTAAAAAGGAAATAATTCTAGGTCAGAAAAAGTCTTTCCATTACCAACTCACTTTAGGTCCTTTAATTGTATACAAGAGTATCTTGTACAACTTATCTCTATACCACCATTAAAGGATTACAGGATCATAGAATCATAGTATATCTGGAGTTGGAAGGGACCCAAAAGGATCAAGTCCTTGCAGGACTACCTAAAACTAAACCATATGACTAAGAGCATCATCCAGGTGCTCCTTGAAGCCTCTGACAGGCTTGGTGCCATGACCACTTCCCTGGGTAACCTGGTTCAATACCGACCACCCTCTCAGTGAAGAACCTTTTCCTAATGTTCTATCTGTCCCAGAGGGATTTGCCAGTGTAAATGACTATTCTAAGAAAATAATTCTTTAAGATTTTTCTGATCTCCTCATAAACATACTCAGTCCAGAGCCTTACCTGGACTAAATGATCCCATTCATTTATCTGGAGCGGCTAGCCACAAATAAAAATTTCTCATTAATGGTTCGGGATCCATTTGTAAAACATGGAAACAGCATTAACAACAAGAGTTACTGTAAAATATATAAGTTCATGCATCCATTAGATTTCTCCATTCTGGGATAGATGTTCTTGTCCTGATTCTCATGAAACATTTTTGCTTCTACAAAGAAAAACATGTTCTTTTCTTTTAAAGACTAGATTTAGTCTGTTTGGGCAATGGGAGACTCATAAATACCTTTACCCCTGTAAACAGTTATTGAATCGGGGAAAGCTGGCACTTTTCAACATGAGCACAAAGTCCTAAATATGCTTTGCTCCAACCTCTTGGGCATCCAAATTGAACTGAGCTGACAATAACAACAAGATAGGTGTTTGATAAGTGCGTCAAGCTGTGTCTCCAGCCAGTACTCGCACAGCTAAAAATCAGTTCACCAGTTGCCTGAACCATTTCTGCTTTCCAGGATTTATTGCTACTGTGTGTAATCTTCTTAGGGCAGCCCAGGCATTTTTCATCTTAATGAAAAAAAAAAGGGGTTTTCTGAAAATTTATGCAGTCCCATGAGTATATATGATATTGCATAACAGGTAAGTTCTGCCAAGCAAACAGCAGATCCTCACACTGAAGAGCTTTCATTCCAGGGTAACAAAAGAAATAGGTGTAATATATTAAATTGAATAGAAAACTGAAGTGACACCTGGCTTTATAGACAAGAAGAACAGCCTGCAGAGGACATGAATTTTAAGGGGAAAAAAATTTGGAGAGAAAAAGAGATTACAGACATTATTTGAGAGAATAAAGGCTACTGAATAAGAAAATTTTTTACTTACACTCACATACAAACTATGTATTTATATGAATATAGATGTGTGTGTGACTATATAGACACATACACACATGCTTTTACATACACTGTAAATTACCTACTAAATTATAAATTGAAGTCCTTAATCAGAAATTCATATTTTCTATCATATCATGTTAAATGTTATGATTACAGAGTTAAATATGGCCTTAAATTTACGTGCTATTAAAATCCAAATCTTCTCTGTACCCTAATGCATTTTGCAGCCCTATGCATTTCAATTACATTGCAAGTTATTGAAAAAGCACATCTAATACTTTGGTAGAGTTACCCATGCCAAGTCAGAGGGCAGAAACCAGAAAAAAATGGTTCCAACAAATATTCAAACTGAAGTTGTTCAATAAAACAACAGCTAATCAATGTTTAAGAAAGTCATAGAAACATAGGAAGACAGCCATTCATGCAAACAGCAGGAAAGTCTTCAACATGTCCTACATAACATTTGACGGCATGGATGCAGAATAATATGCAAAAATCCAAACTTGTGAATTAAATAAAAATGTGGTAGTCTTAGTAGAAGAGATGGATAAAAGGCCTTTAGTGATTTTTAAGCACAGAAAAGATTCACATTCATATAACACTTAGAACCTTTAGAAGAAAATAATCAGACATTACCTAAGTAATTTTATATTCTGAGTTATTCCTAGATTCATTTTTAATTGCTTAATTAAGCAATTGAAAGCAAGTACTTATTTACGATGTTTAAAATGCAAAGGTTTTGTGATTTTCCTTTGGTACATCTTAAAATCCATTAAGTTTGGGGGGGATCAGTTAAGGAATAAGGGGAAATTGTAGCATCATGTGTTGAAACTGAGAAAAAAAATCTATATACATTTGCTTTTTGTGGTGGTAATACTGGGCATGGCTCCATAGAATTTGCTGTTAATTTCTACAAAACACTCTGTGGACCTGATTCCAACTACTGTGGGTTCCTACACTGTAAAGAAGCCATGGACTCCGCAGTAAATGCAAAGAAGTCTCAAAGCAAATTGATATGTCCCGAGTCTTGAAACTGAGGACAAGCCATCTTTATACTCTGATTTCCCACTACTTCTGATTAATTAGAATTTGAGTACTTGCCAAGCAGCCTAGCAAGATCTTTACTTACTTGGGACAAATTCAGTGATATTTTTTAAAATTGTTTAAGAAAAATTCAAGAAAACACAGAACGTGTTTCCTCTGAACATCTAGCAAGTGACACGCATGGGGTGAAGAACACCACATCTCAGATTTCAGTTCTAATGGCAACATACATTTTAATTTCATCTTCAAACCAGTTTAATTCTTCCAGCTTTTTATTATAATTTGTTATTCAGAGTAACTGAGATAGTGAGAATTTATTTGTACAATTAAATCCACATGCACTGGCCACACCCAGTTTGATACTGAGTGCACACGTGACTGGGTAACTTATCCTGCGTATTTTTTTCAATCCATTTCTGATGCTGTAGTTATCATGTAACATTCATGAAAAATCCCATTATAGTTACTCAGATGTGTGGCAAAAAAAAAATTGTTGAGAACAATGTTGTTGTTTTATTCATTCACTTTGCAGTGATTCATTTGATCTACAAGCTGCTGAAGGAGTTACATTTTCTTTACAAAAGTACTTTTATTTTAACTGGAGGGAAGAAATGGGTATGGGTAGGAAGGTTTGTTACTCTTATGTCCTAGAAAGAGTTCAAAGGTTCTTACAATAATACACATTCAGCCAAATACTTCGATGTCCAAATATCTGCTGACGCCTTTCAGTGTCAAAGGGTATGATGCAGTACAAGGCTTTTTCTTGTATGGAAGTTCCAACCACAGTGTGTCTATAGAGGTCATAATTTTTCATTGTTGTAGAAAGTTACATTTTCCCCAGCTTGCTCAAGCTAATGCTCCCTTCAGATCATAACATATTGAGAGCAGTGGAGCATTAGTAATTGTTCACTTTCATTTATTAGCAGCCTAGGCTTTAATGAAACTAAATGACAAGTCATGAATTTTCTCACAGCAATTTTGGGCAGTAAAAAAGAAAAAAAATCAACCCCAAAAAAGAACACCTCCATACCTCCAGAGAACCTATTGTTGATCCATTCATGTGGTTCCAGAATATGATTTTGCATTTGGGCCCCGTAAGGGAGATGACTGGGGTAACAATGTCAACTGTGTGACCAAATTCTCCATTCGAGCTGTCTGCAAACAGATACCAGCCTTCTCCAGTACACCTGCTCAGAGAGAAAGGTTTTTCTTTATTAAAATAAAACATTTAAGCATAATTAAGTTCTAGTTAAAGTTAAAATGGCAATATTTCCTTATACAGATACAGCATCTTCTGTCTGGGTATCTGGATGCCTTTTAATTTATCAGCGTGTAGCCAGAATCTCAAAAAGCCCTTGAAAAGGCAGCTAGCATTCTTGTATCAGAGATTGGCAAAACAAAATACGGAGCTGAAGTCAGACTTTACCCACACGGTCATGAGGGCTGGAGGGCCTCTGGGTTCCCCCCCTCCGCCCTCCCCTTTCCTTAGGGAAACCAGAGGGCTTGATCCTGGCTTGAAGACAAGAAAATCTGAGATACTGGGTGAAATTCTTTCTCCTGAGCCGCTGGGAAATATGAGGCTGGCTTTGCAGTAAGCATCAGACACTGAGTGCGCAGAGAGACCAGAAGTGCAGTTTTAGTGGTTTTGGGTATCTAAGATTTGGCTCCTAAGAACCTTGCTTTTCAAAATAAAAAGCAGCTGTTGACCAAAGATAAGATTCTGTTCTCTTCAGTGGAGCTGCTACGTGCTCAGTGCTTCTTAAAAGAAAGAACCTTCCCAACAAGAGATTACAAACCTGATGATGGGACCTCCATTTTTAAAAAGGTCCTGGTATTTGGTTTTCCTTGCTTTTCGTTTTTTCTTGCTTTTCGTTTTTCCTGTTTGGACAAGCTCTGAGCCACCACTCTGTAAAGGTGCACAACTGCAACTGTGAGAAGGCAGTGACCATGCCCAGCAAGCACTGCCGAGAGAAATGCAGGGTGCCCAGAGGGTGTTCACAGACTGAAAATCCTGCCAAATGGGAAGAGTCAGGAATTCAATGGTACAGATTCAAGAACTCTTTTTTTTTTTTTTTTTTTTTCCCACCAGCCCTAAGTTTTTATACTTAGAGCATTCTGAAGGACTAAGAGGCTTTGGTACCTGTGGTAAGAACTCAGTTTGATGCAGTCTTTGCTGCAGTAGCCCAGAAGTATTAAACAAATATTATAAAAGCTACTTTTTCAATAATCTAGTGACGTTTCTTTGAAATCTTGTAAGAAAATTGTTTCTTTAAAACATGTTGTAAAATACTAAAAAATATCTTCACTATTTATCTAGACATAATTTACCTCAGATTGCAACGTCTGTATTTAACTCAACATGTACTGATGTGTGTAATAAAATAACTATGATTTTAGCATATACAGGTTTATCACTGCAAATTTACAACAAAACTAATAGATTACATTTACTGTATAGAATAATTTACACTCAATAATCACAAAAATACTTCAACATATATTAATTAAGGCCTGTCATGTACTCTACTGTATATTCAGTCACTTTAGGAACAGCACGTTCTACCTACTATAGTACATAATATAAATTAGGCTAGAAACAGGCACATTTTATCTCTGTACTCACACAGCAATTTCCTCTGAGGATCTGAAGTCCTTTAATTAATGCACTCATCCTTAGAATCACGTATGCAGTAACTTGTTTCTAATATGACCGGTGACAGATTGATAGACTGCGAACAGCCTGATCTTCCTTTTGCTCAGGGCAAAGAATTTCATAGAGTAACTACTTATCCTTCCTGTAACCTGTGGTTGGCCTAAAGCTATCTTTAAACAAAAATAATTTTCTATCTCTTTCTCTTTGTTTAAGACCAATAAATTTTTGCTACATGGGAAAATTAAAACCTAGTAATAGCCATTGACACAAAACAGCCCTTCAGAAATCCTTGCAAATCAGTGGCTGGTTCGTTGCTTGTTACGCAGAGTAACTAGAGAAAATATTTTGGTAGATGAAAATAAGAGACAATTCTGATAGTTATAAAACATTTTGATACAGAAATCCCAGGCTGTTTCCTTCAGCAGGGCAAAGTGCAGTTCTAACACTTCCATTGGTCAGAAGTGGGGGGAGCACTTTTACTAGTTAATCAGCCACAGCTCATTACACACTTCTCAGATGTTTCCCCAAACCTTATCTAGCATGAAAGAATGAGAGAATCATTGTATTTGTAGATAGTGGTAAGGATTTGTACGTAAAATACCTGCAAATGTCAAAAGGCACAGAAGTGAATTATTCCCATAATTTCTCTTTAGCTAGGAAAGATGATTCTCAGCTCTAAGCTATTAATACATTTGTATTATTTAAAGTGAAGTGCTAAAAGGTCCTGTAAAATTAAGGAACTTATACGGGGAAAGGTAACATTTTGCAGATTGTTTCTTACATATTAATTGAAGAACATGAAGTACATATGATTCATAATTGAAAAATGAACACTTTTACATAAAATACCAGTAGTGTGCGGGATGGGTTGCCTATGCACATAGTTTTAGGTAAAAATAAAATACATGAAGGAAAATAGTGGTCATGATCAGAGTTAACATTTCTACTGCCACCCATAAAATAGAAATAACTACTCAGCAGAATTATAATCTTCCTTTCTTATAAAAGAAATGCCCAGTAGATTATAGTAAAATTTTCTCTTTATAAGCCACATACAAGTAGATATTTTTGAAGGAGGAACAGTATGTTTTAAGAATATATCTTAAAATGCAGAGCAGACCTTCATTTGGTATAGGTCAGACATGTTACAGATAAAATCACTGAGGACTGCTGGTGAAGCCAACAGGGACCACAATCAGTCCAGTGGGATTATAGGGAGAAGAGCAATGGCCTGGGGAAATCTGGATCTTGTCTCCAATCTTATTTTCCTTTTCATTCAGAAGCAGATGAGAGAAGTGTCACTGAAGATTTTATTTTGTCACTGTATCCTGGCAATTCAGACATCTTTATAATTACTGAAGGAATTTACATCATCCTTGAGGCAGTAGCATAAGTATTGAGAAGTGAACTATTGCAGAAAATAAGCACAAAATAGAGTAATATACATGCAAGCCTTAGGGCAATTAGGTAAAAATAATCCCAAAATAAAAAGTAATAGAGCATTTTTTGTTAAAACAGCTTCTCCTAATAAACAGCATGTACTATAAGTGATAATTGAAAACTTTGAAAACTACATAGTTACAGATCTTCCAAGCCAGTCTGCATTTCGAATATTCATTTATTTCCCTCCTTTCTGCTGAAGAAAGCTGTTATTTCAATATCATGATTTTTGGTTTCTTTTTTCCTTGGCTCTGAGTATTCCACCAGAGTCAAGCCTGGATGTAAAAGAATATTCAGTTTTCTTAAGGTTTGTAAAAACATTTAAAAATTCAGAATTTACTCTGCTACTCATGCCTTCAGTGGTCCAAGAGTGTCAGCACCCTATTTACAATCGCATTCAAGTGGGCTCTAAGAAGCAGAATGATAAAGAGCTTTGAAAAGCAACAGCACTTAGAACCCTCATACTTTCCAAAGTATTCAGTATTACACCCAGACTTGTCAGTGAGATTAGTCTGAAACAGTGGTAGGGTACAATCAGTACTATGATGAAATTCAAACATCCATCTCTTATTTGGTGTGATCTGTCCTGAAGGCAGACCAAAATCACATCTCTGCCTCGATACGACTGGTCCCATAGCGCATCCTAAGAGGCAGGCATTATTGCAATATTTTAATCTTTGTTTCAGTGTTTGCTATAATGTTACACTTTAAAACTACTAAACCAGATGAAAGTCCCCTGTATGATACACTTCATGGAGTGCTAGCCATTAAACATGGCGGCAATATGTGATTACAAGAATATTAAGGATGTGTGGGAAAGTAAGGGGAAATGGAAGGATCAGAAGGGACTGGATAAGTCTGTGTAGAGCATCCTTGTTCACCTTCACTCCTATCATGGAAATTTTTACATTTAGGACTACAAGACTGATATTACTGTGACTTATCCATGTTGTTTAAAAGCAAAGCTTTCTTCTAGTCTCTGTAGCTGACATTAACTTGCACCATGTTTGCTCACAGAGCAAATCAATCTCTCTTGTCTTGAATTATTTAAGCTGCCTCATATAGCAACCTGTGTGGAATCTACAGGGAGATGTACATTCTATAGTGGGAATAGTTTGAAGAAAGTAATAAGAAATCATTCTGTTTGCATATAGTTTGCATGCTAGAGGATCTGCACCTTCTATGGATACATCTTTTGTAACAGAGCCAGTTAACATATATACAATCATCAGTTTGTCGAGCTGTGACTTTTAAAGTAAAAGTTTTCTTAGCTGGCCTACATGTATTTTAAACCAGTAAGTAATATACAGTCACAAGAAATTCCAAAACTTTCCATAAACCTAAATTATCAGTCTCGCTTTCTCTGCTCAGAAGTAGTTCTCCTCCTCACCCCCCATATTTGTTCTTTGAGTCATCTCCAGCCAAGGCAGTAGTTTCTTCATTGTGTGATTTAATCATCTGACTCCTCCTTAAATTCCTTTCTTTCCCATTCCATAAAAGTACTCCCCCCCCCCTTTTTTTCCCCTTTTTCTTTTTATTTTTTTTCAAAGGACACCTCAATAAGTTGATGGTAACAACAGCAAAACAAGATATTTTTCAACATGTATAAGAGCGAACAATTCTGGCTTCCAGTGTAGATCTTATGTAAGTGTTGAAATTCAGCAGAATACACTCAGGCTCCCCTGCCAGTAGCTGCATATCTCAGGCTCATTTGGAAAATTATCCCATGGAAAACCTCTTAGTTGGCAGCTACAGTATGTGTCATTAAAATCTTGATATTTACCCTTTGAAAATAATTAATTTTACCTCTGTACTGCAAGCATTCCCTATATAGAGACTTTCTTGTGCCAGTACAATAATCCTAATTAATTTCAGAGGGAATTTCACAACATTTTAATGGATATAAAAAATTCTACATAAGCAACTGAACTACATTTCCATACTTGACTTTGTTAATAGCTTAATATTTCAAGTATCTTTTAAAATGTAGTTAGCAAAGAATGGGCGTACATAAAAGAATTTTCACTGTATTTCCTCCTTCAAAGCATTCAGAAGGACACAGTGAACTGAATATACTAAATGGGAATTAGCACT